GGACAGTAAAGAAATTCTTCCTTATGTCCAGCCTGAAACGGTCTTGCAGGAGTTTATAACCGTTCGACCTCGTCATCCCTTGGGGCGCTCTGGAGAACAAACATTACCCCAGATCCCGGTGAGCACCCCTGATAAACTTATAGGTGGCCACCAGATCACCCCTGAGCCTGCGCTTTTCCAGGCTGAAGAGTCCCATAGCTCTCAGCCTGTCGTCGTAAGGTCTGTTTTCCTGACCTCTGACCATGCACGTGGCTCTCCTCTGGACTCTCTCAAGCTTCTCCACATCCTTTTTGAATTGTGGAGCCGAAAACTGGATGCAGTACTCCAGCTGCGGCCTCACCAAGGCCAAGTACAAGGGGAGAATGACGTCCCGGGATTTGCTTGAGAAGCATCTATGGACACAAGCCAGCGTTTTGCTTGCTTTACTAGTCGCAGCATTACATTGATGGCTCATGTTCATCTTGTGGTCAATGATGAGCCCCAAGTCCCTTTCATCCGTAGTGCTAGCTAGTGTAGCACTGCTGAGCCTATAAGGATGCTGCAGGTTTTTCCTCCCAAGGTGGAGAACCTTGCATTTTTCGGTGTTAAACACCATCAGGTTCTCATCCGCCCATTTCCTAAGCCTGTCAAGGTCAGCCTGGATCGCCCCCCTGTCTTCAGGTGTGGATGCTTTGCCCCAAAGTTTGGTGTCATCGGTGAACTCGGCCAGTCTGCTTCTGACTCCAGTGTCCACATCATTAATGAAGATGCTGAACAAAATGGGTCCAAGGACAGAGCCTTGGGGGACCCCACTGGTCACAGAGCACCACGATGATTGACTTCTGTCAACCACCACCCTCTGGGTCCGACCACGGAGCCAATTCCCCAGCTAGCATATCGTGGTAGATGCAAGGCCACAATTGGCCAGTTTTGCCAAGTGGTGATCATGGGACACCAGATCAAAGGCTTTTTTGAAGTCAAGATATATGACATCAATCTCTTCTCCCTTGTCCAGGTGATAGATCACCTGGTTGTAAAGAGAAATGAGATTGGGCAAGCAAGCCCTACCCGCAACAAACCCTCAGGATGTTGGCATTGGCCAGTCCATTAAGGATGGCCTCTTTAATAACCTTTTCTAAGACCTTCCCCAGGATAGAAGTCAGGCTGATGGGCCTATAGTTTGCCGGATCCACTTTCCTCCCTTTCTTGAAGATAGGCACCACATTGGCCTTCTTCCATGGGAAGAACATGGGGCAGACATGTGCAACCTTGTAGACGCCAAGATCCATGCCCATCTTGGCACAGACAAGATGTAAATCAGCGGCCCTTTTTTAAAAAAGAACAGTTCCTCCTATGACTAGAGATAGTCAGCCCAGCCTGTGGGCTAAAATTCAGGGTTACATTATGCTCAGCAAACTCTGCCTTGAATGACTTTTAGATGTTGAAAGGTGTTAGTGGAGGACTGACTCGGCGTTGTGTCCTGAAAGGGTAAGTTTTACTCTGAGGTGCTTAGTGATCATTTGATAAAAGATATCCTACCAGGTTGAGAATTGTAATTGTATTTAGCAGTGCTAGAAAAATACATTGGGGGGGGGATGAAATAGCAACCATAACGTTCAGCGTTCTAGCCAGAGGGAGGAAACTAAAAAACTCCACAACGCTGAGACACAACTTTAGGAAGTTAGTTGGAAGCAGCTTAGAAGAGAAGGCAAAAATGTCAAAAGCCTGCAGGCAGCTTGGAAGCTGTTTAAGTATACCATATTCAGGCTCAGAAAATGTGTATGCTACAAATCAAAGGGTACCAAGCACACCATGAAAACCCCTGCATGCATGCCTTAAGAGCAGAGTTAAGGAGGCCATTCAAGGCAGAAAGGCATCCTTCAAAAAATGGAAGGTAAGCCCAAATGAGAAAAGTAGGAAAGTGTGTGTGTATGTATGTGTATTGATCTATCAATCTATCTACAGCTCTGTGCATGTGTACACACACACACACACACACTTTATATATATATCTATATATATAGATATAGATATTACGGAGACTCTTTCTTCCAGGTCCCCAGGCTCTAAGAGACATTATCAAGTTTATATGAATATAAATAGTATTTTATATTTCTAGTATATTAGTCTAAACTTGATAATGTCTCTTAGAGCCTGGGGACCTGGAAGAAGCAGTCCCACATATAAGTCAAGTCTTATAGGTTTAACTTGCAGACTTGACAATCCTCAGCACCTGTCACATTTACAGAACTGGAGCTATTACCCTCTATTTGAGACTTCAACATCAAATGTTCCTCTCGCCAATGTAACATTTTATTTATTACAGACCAGTAATATAACTAAGGGGAGGGGGTGACCAGGGCAACAGCCCTAGGTGCCCACTTTCAGGGCAGAAATAACACCTACTGCAGCTGCTGGCCAGCCACACTGCTCTTCCCACTGCCCCGTGAGCCTCTGCTGCGCAGGGCACAAAGCAACACTATTATGCCTCTGTTACAGTCCCAAATATAAGAGATCTCTGGCCAGGGGTGGGACGATTTCATTTACAAACAGTTTACAGCAATTTTTGGTGCTACAGTCCATCACTCCCTCTATTCTACATACCTCCACCAGAGAGGGAGCGTTGTTTGTCCATCCAGCAAACAAACAGCTATGAACAACTTCCCAGAAATAGGATTTGGACTTGAATTCTAGGCAAATACTAACAGAAAAACAATTACAAGACAAACTACAGAAGTCCATTAGCCCCCTGGCTAACACAACCACTTTGGAGATGTTGCTGCTGCTTCTATATATGATGGACTAAAGTCAAAAGCTTCCTCAAGGTGGTGAGGACTGTGCTGTGCTGGAGATGCAATCTCTATCGCACTCTTTCTATTGTTTTTCCAGGGATGCTGTTCCTGATGGGAGGGGGTTCAGAAATCACAATTCCTATCTTACTTCAGGTTATTTCAGTGATGAGCTGAGCTGTGCCCCGGGATTACATCAGTTTTAATCATAACTATGCAAGGCAATACATAATTCATTATTGAATATATAATTCTTCACTATCTCCCAAAGCACGGTCTCTAATTAAAGTGTTAGATTGTGAAAAAGTCATCACAGGGAACTGGTGGCTCTCCACAAGTTACAGCAGGGGACCTGCATGTCTGTCAGTACCCTTGAGGGCTGCCTGAGCAGCTTGGCTCAGGTGTCAGCTGCAGGGGCCAGCAACGGAAAGATTCCTATTAAAGAGCAAGTCTATGCTTGGTTGGGGATTTGGGACCAGAAAATCACAGCAGAAGGTGTTTCCTGGCATCGGACTCCTTCTGCTTTTTTTTTTTACATGATCAGTGAATTGTGCCGACTATCACTAAATTCCTCTGGGTGAAATGCACCTCTGGACAGAGAAGATGGTGAAACTGTTAAGCTTTACTTTGATTGCCTAGGTGTGACATTGTGGGTGCACCAGTCATGAGCTTCCCTTCTTTAAAGGCATCTCATTCACCCTTAGGAAATGAACCTAGGGTCCCCTTTGTACAGAAGACTAGAATAAATAGCCCTGAATGTAAATTAAAGAAAAAAAATCCCTGCCAAGGGAGCGGATTTGCACACAAACCTGACTATTTTCAAGACAGAAGGAGCTGTAACATCCCTTTGTCTTCCCATAGCACCAGTGCCAATGACTTAAAACCCCCCCCCCAAAAATATTACTCTTGGGAGTTGGGGAGAAGAACAGAAATGCAGAATGAGTGAAGTAAAATATTGGAAACCCTGATAACGCAAAGGGGAGAGATGGTATACCTCTGGTCTGCTGGATTCAGGCCAATATACAATAGGGCTGTGCAAAATGGCACCGTTCCGTTTTGACTAGAGGCGACGTTTTGATGAAACAGCATTTTGTTTCGAATAGTATTTTGAGTTGAAACAGCTGTTCTGCTTTGCTTCGTCGAAACAGTGAGACTGTTTCAACATTTCGCCCATTCGCTATAATGGGGAAGCTCGAAACAGCCTCTCTCATCTGGCAGGCAGATCAGGGCCCAACCCTGGGGGGGTTGCTGGGGCTGTGCCAGTCCTCCCGGGGCTGCGGGCCCCTGATCTGCCTGCCAGATGAAGAAGGGAAGCCGGTGCTGCCACCTGGGACTGGGGAAGGGAACTGAGCCCAATTGCTCAGTTCCCATCCCCAGTGCAATGGTCATGCTGGGGTTGGGAATTCAGCCCAGGTGGGCTGAGTTGCCTTCCTCACCCCGATCATAGGGCTGGAGAGGGAAACTGAGTAATCTGGCTCAGTTTCCTTCTCCAGTCCTGTTGCAGTGCCGGGGCTCAGTTCCCTTCCCCTGTGCTGTGATCGGTTTCCCACCCCAGCTGCAGGAGGTGGGGAGAGCCAGGGCTGCGCTCCCTGCCTGGCTGAGCCTGGAGCTGCTGGGCACACAGCCCTGGTTCTCCCCTGTCTCCCACCACCTGGCTGCTGGCTGTTTTGAAACTTGAAACATTTTGAAAGTTTTGAAACATTTCAACTAGCCTCGTTTTGTTTCGAGGCTGTTTTGAAGCCATTCATTGCATTTCAACTTCGCTGTTTCGAGTTCGAAATAGTCGAAGCAGTGCCGAAACAAAACAGCCAGCAGAATTTCGCACAGCCCTAATATACAATCTTTTTAGTGTGACAGGGTGGTAACCAATGCCATTCTACTTCGTTGGGAGCCACTGGTTGAGCAAGTTACGTGCCTCAGCCATACCAATGCAATGAACAATTACGGTGAGATGCGCCTTCCTACAGCACACATACGGGTTTTGATAGCTGACAACAAACTATAGATGGACACAAATATTAATAATTGCTTTGAGAAGCCACTCCCATTTCTAATGAAGACCAACTGTCATGTTTTGTACTTTGTCACATGACTACATGTACTTACTAGCATTCCTAGGTGGTGAATGAGAAGAGGTAGGAAGGAAGCTTTACATTCTGTAACTTTACCTAGGGAGACACTTCTGGAGCCATAACAGCTAGGATTGAGTGGTTCCTCCCTTAGCACAGGGACATGGGGCTCATCAGAGATATCTTTTTTTATCCTATTAAGTTTTTGTTGGCGTTCATATTGCATTATGAACACCCCAAGGCAGAGATCCCTCAAGGACTTGAAGAGCGCATAAAGCTTTTTCTTTTACACCACTTCCTGAATTTCGGACTTGGTCTGGTAAGTGTGTTTTGTTGGAATTGGTTGCCTGATTTCATTTCTGAGAGAAAGGTGCAAGCGGCTGGGATTTTGTAGAAGCTGATGTTGAAATATACTGCAAAAAAAAAATCACAAAAATATCCCTGTCAGCTAGATTCGCTCTAACAGGGGAAGAAAATAAGTGGTGACTGTAGCTGTAAAGTGCATAGGTACTTTGGTACCCAGATGCCTTCCCAGGCTGCAAGCGAAATAAGCTGCCTTTTGTGGTTGTTTTTGTGAAAGGTTTTGTTGCTTGCTGCTGTGTGTAATGGAAGTATTGAGGGAAAAGCAAGTTGGAGAAAGAACGTGTGTGACCGCCTTGTGAATGGGGTGCGTTCTTCAGCCCTTCTGGCATCTTGAAAAAAATTGTTCTGTGGTTGGGTCCAGCTTTGGTGAAGCTGTCCCCTGCACTGAGGACCTTCCTCTGCACTGAATGGAGTTTTACTGCTTTCTTGAAGCTGCTGCCCTCAGGTAGGATCATGTTTGCAGGATGAAGCAATGTCTTGGATAACCAGGGCCAAGCACATTCTGGTCTTTGAGTACCAGGACAGAGTCCTCAAGTTGGATGCTAAACAATACAGAGACTAATTAAGAAAGCTGAGTGGCCAGATGACTCACAAGATAAACTGAAGCTTTCAAAGAGGAATCCACAGTGTCACTCTGATCTATTGTGGTCCTTCTGAGTTCTTTGCAACAGAAGAAATGCCCAATTTTTTGGTTACAGTCAAAAAACAAGTGGAGACTGGGATCCGGTGTTTTCTGAGGGGTGCCTTGAATCTGAAAAAGTTGAGAACTGCTGATCTAGATAATGGCAGCGTACTGATCTCTGCTCTCTTTTCCAGCCACTTCACTCCCACTTCTGTTCCATTTTTGAAAGGCTGCTGCTACATGTGTTTTCTTGTAGGGTTGTGCAAAATTTCACTGGCTGTTTTGTTTTGACACTGTTTCAATTCATTTTGAGCTCGAAACAGCAAAACTGAAACAAAATGAAGGGCTTCAAAACAGTCTTGAAACAAAATGAGGATAGTTGAAATGTTTCAAAACTTTCAAAATGTTTTGAGTTTTGAAGCAGCCAGGTGGTGGGAGACGGGACAACCAGGGCTGCGTGCCCAGCAGCTCCAGGCTTAGCCAGGCAGGGAGTGCAGCCCTGGCTCTTCCCGCCTCCTGCGGCTGGGGTGTGAAGCTGATCACAGTGCAGGGGAAGGGATACTGAGCCCCGGCACGGTTCCCCTCCCCAGCTCTGGAATCGGGCTGGAGAAGGAACTGAGCCGGATCACTCAGTTTCCTTCCCGAGCCCTACCATCGGCCTGGGGAAGGCAACTCAGTGCAGCTGGGCTGAATTCCCAACCTCAGAACAACCATCGCACTGGGGAAAGGAAGTCAGCCCAGCCGGACTAAGTTCCCAACCCCAGCCTGATAAACTCAGCCCAGTTGGGCTAGCTACAGCAGCTAGTCTGTGTTCATATTTTCAAGATCATCTTTACAACACTTATATAACAAAGAGCACCTTTCAAAAATACTCCCTGAATGTGGGAACATCCATTTTGGTAAACAGCTAAATATTTGATGAAAGAGATATTGAACTATTTGTCCCTCTCAGTGGACATAATTATACATTAGTCAGTGCTAATGTAACAAATTGAAAAAAACTAAGCATGAGTGTTTGACCTAAGAGCTAATTTATGAGCAGGGAGAAAAGACAGAACATAAGGAACAGAAGAGATCCACCTTGATCTTTACAGCAGAAGATGGAAAATGGCTAAATGTTTCAGGGATGGGACTAGCTATAAATGCCAGGGAGCTGATGAAATGGTTTCACTACTGGCTCTCTCTGCCCACTGTTGTACAGGGTGGTTTAGGCAGGTGTGTGAGCGCAAAGCGGGCTGCGTACCAAAGCAGATGGCTGTATGAGTGACTTCTGGATGAGGAGTTTTACAAAGCCAGGCCAGGTCAGCTCTCAGGGACCCCTCACAAAGCATAAAATACGTGCCCCAGGCCCATACATCTTGGCACAGGCCCATCTCCTTTACCTATAATCCTAAATTGAGCATGGCCTTTATCTCTTTCCGTTCCCTTCAGATCTGAGCCACCCCCATTGCCCAATATATGTACGCGTGACATGGAACAATGTGCATGTAGGTGGGACTTCCATTGCTTAAACAGTTCAAAGCTTACAGGCTAGCTACAGAAATTACACTTTTACCGGTATAAGTAATCAGAAACAGATCTGGACCCTTAACAGAACAGAAATTTAGTACATATAGACTGGTTTAAAAATGGCAGAATTGCTGAGTTTAGAATTGCAGTGAATTTAGAGAAAGAACAGAGAAGTGTCATGTTAAGTGCTTGTGTGATAAAGTTGATTGCAATGAGAGATTCACCCTTCAGTATGTTGTTGTAACAAACTGCCTAGGATCTGCATATTAAGTCTGGTTTATATATTTTTTTACAAACAGGCAAAAGTTTTGGACAAAGCAGGCCTCTGCTATGAGCATGATGTCCTGCGATTTTTAGTGGATGGTATACCACCACAGAAGACTAACAAGCTTTTCATTAAAAATGTGATGTTCAACAATTTAACCGTGAGGATCTACCAGCCTAAAGTGCCGTCTGCCGGCCTGCGGAGAGGAATCGTTTATTGCCATGGAGGAGTTGGCCGGTTTGGAAGCATTAGTAAGAAATTCTGGAATTATACAAAACTAGAAACTAAAAACTACAAAAATTACTGTGGAGTTCTTTTTAGGACATGGGTTTTCTCAAATGCTACCATGAACGGGAATTAAAAAAAAATGATTGGTATAACCAACTTCTTTAATATAAAAGTAATCTACTTCTATTGCTGTTGGTTATAGCTGTGTTGGAAGAAAATGTTCTTTTTGGGTAAATGTGGTCTCTTTTATTAGACCAACTAAATAGTTGGAAAAATTGTTCTTTGCAAGCTTTCAGGCACAGCATAGGACGAGTCTACCTATCTACTTCTACTTACACTTAAGCAGTGTCATGCAGCTGAGTATTTTCTTGAATGGCAATCTGTACTGTTCAACGATTTCCACCCCTTGGTCATTTGTGTCTTACTAATTTACTAATCTAATGAATCCCCTCTTATTCTGGATACTAGAGAGAGAAATTCAGGCTTTGATCATGCCACATCTCTTGGGCTAAAAATGGATGTCACTTTTGTTGTGGCATTTTTGTTGGGTCCATGCCACATCTCTTGTGCTAAAAACAGATGGCATTTTTGTTGTGGCATAAGCCTTGCTGGGATGTGTTTCAGCACAGCTGATCTGATTGATGAACAAAAACAGAGGCCTAATCCTGCAGGACAATGACCCCTGGTGCCATGTCCCAACCTGGGCATGGCAACTTGATTTTCAGGGTGCATACCTGGAAGCACATGAAGGGGAGCCCATAGAGGTTCTCTCCTCCCCACTTACAGGCTGTTCCCTGATCTGGGGTACAGCAGCATGAAACGCATGTCCCGGGAATCACTATGGGTACATCAACACGCATAGAGGTAGGAACTGCTTTGGGACTGCCTGCCTGGGGTAGCGGAGAGCATGGGCAGCCCAGGGCTGCTGGTGATTACCCACCATACATTAACAGATATTGGCTAAGACTATTACCACAAATTGTAATGACCTCAACTTTGGGTATATGTGGTGCAACAAAGGGCAGAGACATCTGTTAGCTTGGGGTTTGTACCACTATAAATATTTTATAGCGGCACAAAGGTAATAGTTGTTTGCAGCCTAGCAAATATAATCCCTGGTTAGAAGCTGTGCCTGAGTTCCTTTACCCTTGAAAATTTCCCTCCATGGAGGAATCTCTTTAAGAGATTTCCCATTATCCTGAGCAGTCTCTCTCATTTTTTGATTAAAATAGAAAAGAAAAAAAAAGCTTTGAGTTTATCATTCAAAATGCTTCTCTTCCTTCATCTTGTATAATGACAGGGTTTGTCTTAAATTCTTTCAATTTCCTTTCCCAGGCAGAGAAGGAACAATGCTTTTTAAAATAAATCGTAATTCTGGTCGCCTGATTTCACAAGGTGCCTGGCACTTGCTGGCTGAAAACCCAGTCCTTTAAGGCACCCCAAGTTGGACAAAATATTTCATTAATGCAGCTCATTTAAGCACTTTATTTTGCAGATGCCTATGAGAGAGTATGCCGCTATATCTGCAGAAACAGTGACTCAGTGGTTGCAAGCGTTGAGTAAGTGATCTCGCTCTATCTGCAGTACCTGGGAACCATTTATTACATGTCACGTGTGGGCTTGAGCATCTGCTGTGCACCCCAACTCAGCAACTGGTTCTTGAAAGGAGAAAGTGGATTAGCAAAAGAGACATACTAGGCATGTCTACACGTTCATTAATGCACCTTAGTTACTGTGCATTTACTTTAGTACCTCTAATAAGAGGTACTAAGTGAATGTGCAGTAAGTAGAGTTACTGCGCAGTAGCTCCAGTGCAGTTTTTTAGTGACACTTACTGTGCATTAGCCTAATAACACTGGGCAGTAAGCTATTAGCACAGTTAATAACCGCTACACTACTACATGGTATTACTAGACTAATGCGCAGTAAGCATCTCGTGTAGATGTGCCCACTGATTCCTTGCTCTCTATGCTTTGCTGTCTTGTTGAGCAACTTGGAGTAGACCAAGAAGATGTCTGGTTTAGAGCCTAAAAGAATGGACTTATAGTAGAAAAAGGACTTGAAACAATTAAAAAAGCATCCTTTTAGCAGGTTTTGGCTGTGTGACCTCTTCACTGCAGGAGACAAGGTCTTACTCCCTGCAGGGTGACACAGCCAGGTCAACACTTAAAACGGTGGTTGGCCAGCACATTGGGAAATACAGCGTGACTTTTGGATCACAAGCCAGAAGTGCTGCGGGCAGGGAACAGCTCTGCCGAAGGATCTCCTAGAGTGCAATTTCATTTGCCTTTGGTCATTCAAGTGGCTGGTTAATGGTCTTCTAAATACCGTTTTTGGCACTTGCATGTGTGTGCACTGAGTGCAAGTACCACGTGTACAATCTGTTGCAGTTGACAACCATTACTTCCTGTCCTGTCCTGTCCCCTGCAGTCACAGAGAAGACTCTATCACTATCCCCTTTACATTTGCCCCTCGGGTATAAGAAGACATCACATCCCCTCTTATCAAATAACAGACCTTTCTTATCTACATGTTCAAAGAGCATCATTCTCTCTATAGATTTGCACTCATTATTAAGAGTTCAACAGAGGCTGTTTTCAAAACCTGTCACAGGTCCTCTCGATCCCAGTGGCCGATTAAGCTAGCCTGGTTAAAGCCCAACACTGCCTATAGCCAAGGGTACAAAATCCAGCATGACATCTTGGACTCCTGAGTCTAAATGGCTGCGTACCCGTTAACAACTGGGTTAATTGAGGGGGCAGCCTTTTTACGAGGCTTGAATTGACCTCTCTGAAATTTGTAGAAAGACACCATAGCTGTTCTGCGGATAAGTCCCCTTTCAAAGCCATACCCAATCATTTTAAATTATTTAAAATTTTAATTGATCTTAGCACGTCCAAAATACTTTTTTTATGCCATGGTGACCTCTGTCACAGCATGGCTGTTGTAATAATTAATTTTTTATTTCACTTGTAGTCCAGAAAATTTAGGGGGTAGGAGACGGGGGGCAAGAGAAAAGTTTGTTTTGGTTCCACCCAAAAGGAAGATACTTTAAAATTGCTTGGGGAGCTGAAAATTAAAACACTTCATTTTTGACAGAACAAGAACCTTTTCCTTGCCTCAAAATGAAACGTTTCACTGAGTTAAAAGGATTTTGAAATAAAATGGAAGAAATATCTAACCCACCAGTAATTTTGAGTTTAAAAAAATCGAATGGTTTGATAAGAAAAAAAAAATTGAATCAAAATGTTTGACTTTTCAAATTCTCCTCTCCAAAACTATGAACTAAAATCAGTGCACATGGGGGAAAAAATGACAGGTTTTTTAGACCTGAATCACTGCTTCTTGTGAAAAAGATATTTCATCTGAAAAGTGTTGCCCAGCTCCAGTTAAGAGCAAATACAAAAGAGCAGCCCAAAGATGTTTTATTGGCCTTATCAGACTCAAGAATTTTGCTATGGATTTGGGAACATCATTCTTTAGTATCACAAGGTCACCTACCGGTGTACTCTATCCACCAACGGGGTGCTAATGTACATGTATGACCCATTTACCCGTAGATAGTCTTCATTGCAGAAGTCCAGCTACATGACCCTGTGTTGGATACCAGGAGTTTCTGGAGAAACGTAGTTCAGGCAATGAATGTGGAAAACAGTGTGGCCCAAACTGTAGCTCAGCAGCATGCATCCCATTTTAACTATATAGCTTTAGTCCTGCTAGGCTGAGGCCAGCTGGCTGGCTGATAGGAAGAGGTGGCCAGAAGAAGGCTTGGCTGTCTGCACTTGGAAGGCCAAATGGAATTAATAATGATTTTTTTTTTTTTTATCCTGAAACCTTTGGCTAATCCAAATGGCATCGTAAACTGGTAAAAAACCCCACAAAAGTACACATCTGTGCATATTTTAGTCCTCTGACTTTTAAGAGCTAGCTATATAAGTGAATAATCGTGGTTTGTCCAACCCCATCTTTCATATTTCTGGATTAAGGGTTTTATTTATCCTCATTAGGTGTGGAGAGACAAATGACCTGGGGAAAAAATGTTGTGCTCTTTGAATTATATATACAAAAAAATTGCATTGGTTGCTCCTTCAATTCAGGACTGGTAGAACTAAGCTAATACCTGCCATAGAGCAGTGGTGCTCAACCTTCAGGCCCCATGGACTGGATGAGTGGCATGGAGCCGGTCTGCAGCAGGATCCCACCAGTGGGGTCAGTCTGTGGGCTGGATTCAGGATGGGGTTAGTATCCAGGGTCGGTCCACGGTCCACTGCAATTAATGCTGACACTGCATTTCCACCACCAAATATCTATGGGGGGTCTCACAGACCAGATGACACGGGCAGGAGGTTAAGCAACACTTCCAAGCTTCTCCCTTTACAAATCTTTCGTGACCCAGAAGACAACGGGATAGCTTTAACATTTTCAGACGCTTACTTTCTAAAATCCTATTGTTGAATATTTACTGGAGGAGCTATAAAAAGTTTGACTCCGGGATTACAGCCAGGAGGCCGGTTACTGGTTCATACCCTGAAGCATTCAGGAAAAATAAGCCATGTCAGCCATTGCCTGAACCATAATGCAAAATTAGAATAAAAAATAAATAGATATATTTGACTTTTCCTATCAGTCAGATACAAGGTAATTTAAATTCTTTCTCTGGTATTTTAGGTATCGCTTAGCTCCTGAGCACCCATTTCCAGCCCAGTTTGACGACTGTCTCGCTGCTACCATCCACTTTATGAGGACGGCAGAAGACTATGGGGTGGACCCCGCTCGTGTTATTGTCTGTGGAGACAGCAGTGGAGGCACAATTGCTGCTACTGTTTGCCAGGCCCTGGTGAACAGAACGGACCTCCCCAAGTTGCGGGGACAGATCCTGATCTACCCATTTCTCCAGGCTGCGGACTTTAATTTGCCTTCATATCAGCAGAACGAGGATGCTCCAGTCTTATTAAAGAGTAGGACTCTTGACTTTGGTTTCAAGTATTTGAATCTGGACCTATCACTGATAGATGATCTCCTGAGAGGTGCTCATATTCCTGAAAGTCTAAGACAGAAATACAGTAAATGGCTGAGCCCAGACAATCTCCCTAAGGAATTTAAGACAAGAGGCTACAAATCACCTCAACTGGCTCCATGTAAAGAAGAGGTGTACACCCTGGCCCAGTCATTTATTGGGGCAACCTTTTCCCCACTTTTAGCAGAAGATGCCATTATTCGTCAACTCCCCGACTCTTTCATTTTGACCTGCGAGTACGACGTGCTCAGGGATGATGGGCTGCTGTACAAGAAACGACTGGAGGACAATGGTGTTCGAGTGACCTGGTGCCACCTCAGCGATGGCTTCCACGGTGTGCTTTTTGCAGTCGACTATGGGATTTTATCATTTAAGGCTGGATGTAGAGGAATAGACAGGACAGTCAACTTTATAAAAACTTTGTAAAAAACCCCCACCTTTTTCTTCAGAGCTGGAAGCATGGCATTATCTGTCCAAAGTCACTCCTTTCAGCCATCACAGAAATGTCAAGATACTCTCTGCTGTCAAAGATTTGGTCACGTCCATCATTGGAGCTCCCCTCTTGCATGTTGTTCCAGGTGCTTGAGTTGGTGACTTCTGTTTCTTGCTGCTTGTAGGTGATGTGGTAGGATGACCTGCAGATTCACAGATACCCACATCCTGGTACTCAGCTTCTTATGACTGTTAGTTATACCCATGAAACACTTGGCCTTCCAGAAAGAGACTGGTGCAGTGCAGTGAATGCTAGGGAGAAAAGACGGGGCTTGGTAAATGGCACTGGGGCTAAGTCTGAGGCTGTAGGAGGATGAATCTGCAGGATAAGTGGAACAATGAATTTGGGAGAGCTGGATCTAGTGCCGGTTCCAGAAGGGCCTAAATTTGATTGAGTTTGAATCTAAGTGAAGGCTGCAGGGACCTAGAGAACTGAAGAGATATGGGGATACAGGCAGAGGAGAGATGGTGGAAGGAGAAGGGAGACAGAATTGGGAGGAGCAGAACAGCACAAATTATAAGGTAAAAAAATGCAACCAACATTTAACGAGGAGCTCGATATTAATGGTGCCTGTAGACATGCAGGAAGGTTGCTCCAACATGCTGCAATTACAGCACATTGGAGCAGCCTCGATTGAGTCTGCTGGAGCATGCTAAATTGGCGCGCCTCCAGCAGCCTCCGCGTCTTGTGTATCGGTGTCCCTGCGCTTCAAAATGGTGGTGGAGGAACTTTAACTAAAGCTCATTTGACAAGCTTTAGATAAAGTGCCCCCTTGGTCATTTTGAAGCATGAGGATGCTGATACATGAGATGCTGTGGGTGCTTTAATTAGAGATGCTCTCAGATCTACTCTAATTAAAGCCCCCCCCCCCGGCCAACTCCCCCGGGCATGTGTAAAAATGCCCCTTGGGCTTTCAAGATAAATTTTAAAAAACGTGCACCAGGAAATATAAACAGTGTGACTGGGCACATCTACATGTGCGCTTTACTGTGGAGTAGACTAATTAGCTCTGCAGTAAAGTGTCACTGTTAACATGTGCACTGGGACTAGGGTGCAGTAAATTAATTGACTCTGTAAGATGCAATGCAATCTCTGTACTAAATAATCATAAAGGTATCTTTTGGTCAGCCACTGCAAAGAGGGGCTGGCACTGTAGATCCTGGGCCAGCTTTATTCAAACAGAAATAATTTTGATTAATAAATTCCCCATGGTTACATCAGTCAGGATTTTTCAAGAAAAATGAAACACTGCTTTGCAAGAATTCTGCATATTTCTTTGAGGCTTGAAACAGGGAGTTTGTATGTGTGTGTGAAAGAATGACTACGTTTGGTCTGCTTGGGGGTAAATGAACTTAAATGGGTTTGCATTTAAGTAAGAAAAATAATGACATTCAATTATTTTGGATTTAAAACATTAGAATTATTCTTTAGTGGCATGTCACTCCCAGCCATGTGACTCAGTTGAAACAAGGCTTTTTGTCATTTAACGCAGAACTGTATTAAGGATTCATATTTGATAGACGCAATTCACCAAGACTTCTCCCCCTTTCCTACCCCCACTCCTATCTTTCTCTTGCCTGTTGTCTCACAGGGCCTCTGATCTCCCCTGCCACACATTTCCATTTTCACAGACCAACATTTTGCATACTGGCTTCCATTCTACCCAGGAGAGGTCACAAAGAAACAAAAAACTCTCCATGTATCTGAAGATGGGGGTTTGTACCCAAAAGCTTGCAAAGAACAATATTTCCAGCTATTTAGTATGTCTAATAAAAGGTATGCAGGGGTGTAGGTTGTAGGTTGAAGCCGTGTTGGTCTAAGGACATAGGCAGACAAAGTTCTATTAATTAATTAATTCTATAATTAATAACTATTCTCCAACTAGTTGGGTTGGTCTAATAAAAGATATCAGATTCACCCAAGGAACCTTGTCTGCCTAATAAAAGATATTGCAGTTACCCGAAGAAACTTGTCTGCCTATTCTCCAAGAGTAACATTTAATAAATTGGTCATTTTGCTTATTGTATTCAATGCTTTACTTTATTTTATTTTACTTTAACTGACACCACTTTTCTTTCAAAGTATCTTGCATTTTCACTGCTTCTTCATTGGTCCTCAATACCATAAGGTAATTGTCATTTATCATGTTATCACACCTTTTATCTTGATGTTCTCACACCTTTTACCTTAATATGTGAAAATTTTGAACCACTCAGTTTTTCACATTTCCATATTGAAAATGTGCCTGGGGTTATACCTTTATAGAAATATTTGTTTCTAATTAATGCATGAACACATTGCATCACGATAACTTGTCTTGCATTAAACCAGCGTTTTTCAACATGTGGTCCACCAACCCTTGGGGGTCTGCAGGCTATGACTAAGGGGTGCATGAAAGATGACTGTGATCAATCAAAAATATGTGAATACCCATACTTACAGTTCAAAGAGGTTTGTGTCTCCATTCAAAATTTCCAAAGGGGTCTGCACCTCCATTCAATTTTTTGGGGGGGTCTGCGAATGAAAAAAAACACTGCATTAAACTAAACCGCAGTCACACCTTCACCCACAATTATTTTGTGTTATTGCAAGCACATGCTATTCATCACTGCTAGATGTGAGGGATACCAAAAATCAAAAACAACTTGGGAGAATGCTGCATTGAACATACCTGGAATGCAAAAGTAAAGCCTGTTCTAGACGCTGGCTCTAGGCCTGGGAAACTTCAGCTTGGTTCATTCAATTCCCTGTGCACCTTCAGCTGTTCCCTGTGCATCTGTAACACTGATTTTACTTTCTGCCATACGCTGTTGCACTGAGCTGCTGCACTGAAGCAAACACTTGCTACCTTCTAATCTGGAAGTGATTTCATATAGGCCCAGATCCTTTAGATTAGGCATGTCAAACTCACCTGGCCCTGCAGCCAACTTTGTTGTTGTAGAAGATGGATAGGTATTAATGGGGAGTAAATGATGCTGACGTGTGACTGGTGCCTCCTGAATCTCAGGGGGCACCTGCAGAAGCTGCCAGTCCTGTCAGGGGGGGCACGTGCACCCCTGTGCACCCCTACCAGTCGCCTATGGATGCTGATTAGTGCATGGGGTTTGGGAAGAAGGGGGCAGAGGGATGACTGAAAGGAAGAAGGGGGCAGAAGCCATGAGCTAATGGGGTGGAATATGGTGGTGGCTGAGCATGTTAGGTTGGAAGAGTTGGAAGTGACTGGGGGAAGCAAGGCACTGGCTAGAAGAAGTTTCATTTGCAAGGGTGTCCAGGAACTGGTGAAGACAAGGGGATGGGGAATGGCTAGGGTTCACGTCTTGAGGAAGGGCTGTTGATAAGTTATTTACTAAGATTCAGATCATTTTGTAAAACACTGAACTCATCCGTGATGGGCAGGGCATTAAAACATTATTAAGAATGCCATGTCAGAGCATCATTCTTATATAATAAAGGGCTTAGTCTAGCTGTTCTGCATGAGCCCCCCAACCCCACCTTGCTCCCCCAGCCCCCCCATGGGTGCCCCACCTGGGCCAGCTCTGGCCTTTTAAGGAAAAAAAAAACCTGAAAAAACCCCGGGACTCACCACTCCTTAGGTGGGGGTGATCCCCGCTGCCCCCACTGCCCTGCACCCCTTGGGGGGCTCTGCATGAGCCCTTGAAGCCCCCATGCAGGAGCAGTGAGTCCTAGGGCTTTCCTCGTTCTTTTTTAAAGGGCTGGAGCTGGCCCGGGTGGGGCACCCGGAGGGGGCACGGGGGGTCGAGGGGTCATGGCAGAGCCCCCCCATGCAGCGTGGGGCAGTGGGGGGGGCAGCAGGGATTGGCCGGGGAGCTGGGGGAGTGGGGAGTTGGGGGGGTTGGGAGGAGTCCCCCATGGTCCCAGTCCCCCTGCTCTCCTCCCCCATCCCTAGTATTTACCAGCTCGCAGTCAGCTGCAGCAAGGGGGACTGCCCAAATCATCAAAGCTCTCCGAATCTTTGCCGAAGAGTTCTCCAAATTTCTCTCCAAGCTATACCAATATCTATAGATGCCTGGTTCTAATATTCTGCAAAATGTCACCTGGCTGGTTTTATTTAAATTTCTTTGTTTCACCGAAACTTGTGCAGCTGGATTAAATCAGCTCTCTTGTGGACTGGGAAGGTGGCAATTACTTGGGATTTATATTCTTGGGAAAGTAAAAGGGAGGAATCTTTATCTCCTTTCTTTCCTCATTGTGGAATGCTATTCAACACTGGCCTGGTTCTTCTTTACCTTAGTTATGGTCTTCTCTGACAAGGTTGTTTTGGTTTTACGAATTATCTAAGCATTTTAATAAAAATGTATCTAGTATAGCAAAATAGTATCTAATACATTCGGTTGCACCAATCGTTACTAACTAGTGTTTTAAGATTAAGCTATGATATACTGTATTTGGATTATTTAATGTATGGTCTTCCCTTATAGTGTCTCTTTTCAGGCCTTGTGCTTTGTTTAATTGTGTTTAGTTAGACATGTGAATGGCTTCCTTTACTTTGCTGACCAAGCTAATTGTCACAGCTGCAAAGGTTCATACTACAGTCACTCAGAAACAAGCTTTGGGGCCTTCTGCTTAGCCACACTTCTGCAGATTGGTCTAGGTCCCTTGACCAAGGCTGGCAACAAAGCTCTGCTACCACAAATTAGTTATTTTCTTCGTTGTAAAAAGAACAAAGAATGAGAGGATGAGTCCCTACACATTAGATGTGAATAATCTAAGTACTCTTAAACCTCCTCTAAAAACATTAGTATTTTAGGTCTCATTTCACTCCTTGGAGCCATGCTATGCAGTCCAATTTTGGGACTGTCTTAATTCATCATACATTTTCTGAGGCCTGCAGAAGACTGAGGTGGTTGTTATTCATATAACTGTTAAGGAAAACAAGTCCAGGAGGCAGAGCTACGTTTGTCAAGCATTGGTCACTAGAGACACTGGACAGCAATCTCCCAAAGACACGTGCTCAGGGCACAACCCGCCCATTGTTTTAGTCACTGGACCTTAGCGTTTCCGCTCTTTATCGTGCCTAGTCGGTGCCCATCTTATTGCAGGAACATGCCAATTTATAGGGCAAGTAACAATGAGCTTAAATTGCCCCATGGAAGATTTGAATTAGATGTTGGCAAGAATTCCTAATTATGTGGTGGTTAAACAATGAAAAGAAATTCCTAGAGGGGTTAGGAGTTTCTGTCCCTGGAAGTTGCTAAATGTAGGGTAGAGAAATATTTGTCTGTGATGACTTAGACAGATATGATCCTGGCTTGAGCAAGGGTGCTAGAGGTGATACACTTAGATGTCTTCCATTTCTATTAGTCTATGCTTTTACATCCACAACATATTCTTGGAAGATATCCTGAAAGAGCGCAGTGTTCTGAAGCATCAGAAATGGCTGAGTCTAGACAATATACTAAAGACATTTAAGATCAGGGTTATAAACCTCAACTATCTACTTCAGGTTCATATAATCCACTTTTTTTAGCTGAAGATGTCACTGCCTATACCATGAAGCCTGCGTTTGAGTAGTATGACATGGTCAAAGAAGATAGATCATTGTACTAAAAACAACTGTAGGACAACGGTGTTTAAAGAACTTGGGACCACATGGAAAATGTATTCTCTGGAGAGAGATTACTATCATCTTCTACAGTTTTCCTCACACCCTCCCCTTTGTGGTGTGTTACCCTTGGGTCTGTTCAGTCCTTTGACTTGTAAACTGTTTGAAACTGGGAAGTGATCTTTCTGGAGGGAGCACCTGGCAAAGCTGGCAGTATTTTAGGTCATCAGTAATATACACTTCTAAAAAACAGTAAACGTGAAAAAAACAGAAACTGAAAAACAAACTATGCAACCAAATAAAATATCTAAACAGTGTTGCCTACTGTCTGCAAATGTATGGTCAGACCGTGAAAAAAATGGGCAAAAAAATCCTGTCCATAAAGTCCTTAGAAATTCAGACATCTGCAAAAACAAGCACACAAAAACACTAATCTGTCTGGAGCTTGACTGAAGATCCCTTATGGGGAAAGTAGCTGGAAGCAAGCACCAGCTTGTCTGAGCATGAGCACAGGTCCTCCACAGGACATTGTCTTAGGGTTGGAAGCCCTTTCTGAAGATGGCTGGCCTCTGTTTGTAATGATAGGTTAGATACTATTGCCAAAAGCTCTGCAGTTTATTGATTTATTCTAAAACTTCTGTTGTCACTTCAATGTGGTCCAACTCTTCAGACCTATCTACTAGGAAGGAATGATCTGGTATGGGGATTTTCTTAGTATCTTCTGTGGTAAACACTGATGCAAAGAACTTGTCTAGCTTTCCTGCTATGACCTTATCAATCCTGAGTGCACCTTTTATACCGTGGTCATCAGATAGTCCCACCAATGCTCTTGCTGACTTCCTGCTTCTAATACATTTTTAAAAAGTTTTTCTTATTAACTTTAAGTAATCACAACTCTGGGAGAGGTGAAATCTTTTATTAGACCACCTAGATGGTTGCAAAAAAAATGTCTTTATTTGCAAGCTTTCAGGCACATACACCCTTCCTCAGGCATAGGAGAGTGCAAAGACTATAAAAGTTTTCCCAGGTGGAAATGAAAATGCATCTTTCTTATAAACGTTAACATCTTTTGCTAAACACTCCTCATATTCTTTTTTTGGCTTGCCTTATTTCATTTTTAAACTAAACCTGCCAGAGTTTGCGAGCTTTCCCATTTTCCTCATTCAGTCACAGCTTCCATTTTTTTGAAGGATGCCTTTCTGCCTTGTATGGCCTCCTTAAATCTGCTATTAAAGCATTACTGGATCTACTGGATGCCTATTTCCCTTGTCTAACTATATTTAACATTAGGGTAAGTTGAGGTGAGAAATAATTAGACATATTAGGTTTGGATAAAGTTCTGGCCTGTAGGCTACAGAAGCATGGGGAGGTATTATTTTGGGTAATTTATCATATGTTCTAATTATATGGAGCAGGAGCAACTGTATATATTTATCTGAAGCTCTTTTGCATTATCCTGTTTCTGCCCTGCTGCATGTGGAAAGGTCCTAAAAAGCATTGATTCATGGGCTGCTTTATTAGTCAAGTCATTCATTTATGTGCAGTTTAACCAAGGTGGAAAGGAAGATGGTAAGTGGAAGTGTAACCAGGTAGCTGGATGCCCAGGATAGCTGTGATGCACAGGGGCAGTGGTGACTTCCGGCTGCCACCGCACTGTCAGCACGATCATGTCACTGAAGCAGCATCTGTTTTTTTCCTGCTGTTTTTCCCCACCCAAGCTTGTGCTCGGGGTGGTTGTCCTGGTCGGCCTGTCCTAGTTACACTACTGGTTGCATGCACGTCGTATCCCTTTTGCACCTGAAAGCCTGCATTCGCTTACTGCTTGTTTGTATCCCCAGGCTGATGAATGGGTAGTTTGACTGAATTATACACAGCGCCAGCAGCTTTTTCTGTGCCCGTCTAACAAATTCCAGGGTCAGACTCTGCTCTCATTTCCCCAAACGATATCAAATTAATTGTTGGGCCTGAAATATTTTTATCTTCCACCTGCTTGCTAATCAGGACCTATGTCGTGTCTATGGCATTTGGGCATCATAGAGGAATCCTTTTTGTTAGTGATGTATTTTGGTGTCAGAATCGATGGTATTCTTCTCCTGATCCTTACTCACCCAGGCATAAGAAGGCAGGTGGGTACCCGGGGCAGCTGCAACACAGGGGCAGTAGGTTTTTCCACCTCCCGTCTAAGTCAGCACCTGTCCCAGTCATGCCACCTGTTATGCTACGCCAGGGGCGGGCAATTATTTTGGGCGGAGGGCTGCTTACTGAGTTTTGGCAAGCCATCGAGGGCCGCATGACAGCCAGCCCAGCGCAGATAAATATTAATTTTCTAAATTTTTTAGGGGCCCCACGGGCTGGATAGGCGGGCTGCATCTGGCCCCCGGGCTGCATTTTGCCCACCCCTGTGCTACTCATTACTCATCTGGGTCATAACAAAGATTTCTCTGTAGCTGTTTCACATGAGGTGGTCTGTCCTGTACGGTGCAAATTAGCTCCTCAGCTAATGCTACAGGGATTTCTTCTGTAAAATTTAATTGAAGGGTTTTAGTTCTCCTTTTTCTGCATATCATGAGATATACTTAAACTAGGATACCTTCATTTGCTATATTAGCTGAGCTATAAACTGTGTCAGGTTTGAGTTCCTGAAGCTGCTGTTTAGTTCCTTTACTTTTTAAAGAAAGGGAGACAACTTGCTTTTGGTCTTCTTTAATGGTATCCTCCTAGATTTAGTTTCTTAAGCATTTTTAATGCCACCTGTTTCTAAAGGTGCTGAATATGCAATGTCTGAGGCAAATCTAAGGACCATATTGTTATTCCTTATGCAATACAGAAGAAACTGAAATAGGTGTCATGACACAACTAGAAAATGTCTTATGGCTGTGGAAAATGTGCCAAAATGTGCAGTGATGCTCACCTGAACCTGCAAAGTCCCTGGGACTATTGCTGCATGAGGTCTTAACAGTTCTCTTCAGACAGATGAAATGATCACAGAAAGCTATGAAAGACCATTTGGGGCATCTAAGCTAATGATTTCAGCACTATTACGGCAATCTACAGTATTGAAAATGGGAGCAGTTAATTCGATCGTGACTAGAAAGTGATTAGAAGGTGATTGT